CCCCAAAACCCCAAAACCCCAAAACCCCAAGATAGACTATTACAATTGAAATTATGAATTAGTTGATGAATTTTTGTACTTTTTCTTCTTTCTGTTGGCTTGAATTTCTTGGTCATGAGGAAACAGTGAAAATGGTGCAGATATATTATTTGATTGTAAAGCAGACATTTGACGCAACTTTTTCGTAATTCCTACCTCTCCATCAATGAGCTGAGGCATGTGGATAGAGTTTTGGTCGATGGAGTCGTTCTTCCCTATCAAAGGAACTCCAGTATTTAGCCTCTTAGGATCTGAGCTAACTTCTTTGGATTCTATTAATTAATAGGTTATTCTTACCTTCAGAAAGCATATCAGAGCCAATATTACACAAGGAGTCTGATTCTCCGTCATCAATGTCTGAATCGGAGAATCTCTTTTTAACAATACCTATTGTTGAGGGAGGGTGAACCTACCACTAACTATTCTTTGGTCAACTTCTTGGAGTTTATTTATTTTTAAATCTAGTAATAGCTTTGTTTATTTTTTTATCCACCAATTTTGAGTGCTGAATATTTTGAGATTTTTCCATTAAGCTAATTATATTCATCTGACCTTCGTCGGAGGTTCCTGATGATGAAGAATCTATTACGTTGTTTCTTTGGAACTTCATCATAAACTTTTGGCTTTTAGTAAGCAATACTAGTGTTAGAAGTTTCAGTTGCCTAACTGATTTAATTATCGTCACTCAATCTAACTCTTCTAATAATTTCTCTTGACCAATTTCATAGTAAAGGTGCTCTCTGAATCTTGGCAGCAATCGCATGGATTTCTTTCTCCTACAAATCACTCATCAAAAAATATAATGAAGGATGTCAGAGTACCCGTATCTAAGAACTCTTCGTTCTCTCATACTTTCCTCTCATTTGTCTAAGATATCTGTCTTATTACTCTTAGATCTTTGGTCTTCCTTGAGATCATTAAAATTCTTAATATCTCTGAGAGTCTCTACGTGAAATTTTTCACTCTCAGTGTAAGGCTCCTTTTTCTTTCGACCATCAGTGTGGTAGATAGCTTGCCTGTTTTTATGATAATTCTTATGGTTCTTTCGCAAAGTTGGATCCAACCTCTCTCTTTCTTGCCAAGTGTCGATTTGGTATATCTTTCTCAGGATGGAGGCTACAAATAGTCTTTCTGAAAATATGAATAAGAATATTGAGCCGATTCCAATGAAAGATCCATAAAATCCACCAGCCTGACCTAGAAGGTCTCCAATCGAGTATATTCTCCTTTCATACACATCACTGGTTTTGTCGAATCTCCAGTAGATTGAAAGCACATCTCCTTTAGAGGATTCTGCTTCAAACCTATCTTGGGAAGTCGCCACTTGATAAAATTCTCTCTCATCTGGGAATCCTAGCTGAATGTAATCGTCCTGAAAAGTTGCTTCATTTTTCCTGATAAAAATGTCGGTCTTCTTCCTAATGTTAGGGGTCAACTCCCAATAAAACCCGTCATCGATGATATATTGAAGAGGCTCTTTGTAATTTTTGAGGTCTACAACTGTGTTTACTATGGCTAAAGAGAACCTAGAATCTTTAATCAATGATTCTAGATCTGTTGTACTTTTTCAAGTGACGCTGCCTCCGCTAACTCAGCGCCTCAGTTTCATCTCTATATAGTGGTATTTAGGGGAGAAGAAGCTCCCAGCAACTGAGAAGTTGCTCTGAATAGGTCAGTAATAGTTGTCAATGCCAAGTCGCTTTATCTCAGTCAAATCATCGTAGTTGAGATTTGTGTCCCCTCATTTTTCGACATCGATTGAAGTGTAATTCCGTTTGGTCTTAGGAATGCCGCTTTCAGTTACCCATTCTTGCTCAACCAAGTTCATTTCAAAGGTGAATGCTGTAGGATCGTTGAGATAATCTACACCATCAGATGTGAACTGAAAGGCGAAATCAAATTGGGACCTTCCAGTATCTGGTTCATAGTCATTTTGAGCTGGATAATGAACTTCTGAATTAGTTATAAGATGTCATTAAGTAGAGATGATTTGACGTATGAAGTATTTCCCTTCTCAATCATTACTTTAACGAGTAATAATATATATGCTAGCACAATGCCTCCGACCACAACTGATGCTATTCCTCCAATGTGAGTTCTATACTTATCATCTCCTTTGTAAGTAAGGACAATGTTTTTGCCATAAAAGTCAAATCCTCTTACAAACCCAAGAATCTTCTGTCCAATTGTTCTCTTTCTTTTAAAAAGTCTTTGTGTATGTTTCTTTGCCATCTTAATCTAAAATACAGAAAATTGTTTTAATATTTTAAAAATTTCAACTTATAGACTACAAATCGGGGTTTTGGGGTTTTGGGGTTTTGGGGTTTTGGGGTTTTGGGGTTTTGGGG